TCAAGCATATGGAGACATTCTTCCAAAATCGGCTATCTAATACTACATGTGCTACTTTTCTCCCCTCTTGTGAAGTTCCAAACTTGCTTGTCTTCCATTCCTCAGAGCTGAACATGGTCAACAACGATGCCTTCAATTCATGAAGACAAGCAAGAGTTAAATAAGCCGTGGCAAATCTAGTCACACCCGGTCTTATAAGGTCTCTACCTTTAGTAAACTTTTTCAATAAGGAAATCAACATTGATCTCCCATAAATGTAAGTTGTAATTTTTCTTCCCTTCTTAATGGTCAATTCATGGACCTTCAAATTTTTTTCAAAATCTTCGAATATCAAATCAATGCAATGTGCTGCACATGGAGTCCAATACAATTTTTCCCTCTTTTGCATCAACAACTCTCCGGCTGCCTTGAAATTTGCAGCATTATCAGTGACAACTTGAACAACATTTTCTTCTCCAACAAACTCGACAACATCATCCAACATTTTGAAAACTTTATCAGCTGTTTTTGAAATGTCTGAAGTGTCAAGTGAATAAAGAAAAACCGTCCCTCTAGGACTATTCACCAAGAAGTTGCAAATAGAACGTCTTTTTCTATCCGTCCAACCATCAGACATAATTGTACATCCAGTTTTCTTCCACTCCTCCTTATATTCCTCAAGATTTGCATCTGTTTTCTTCACAGCTTGTTTCAAGAGCTTCTCTCTAATATCATGATAAGATGGTGGTTTGTATCCAACTCCATACTTACCAATCATTTCACACATCTTTGCAAATGCTGGATTTCTAATTACATTGAAAGGAATGGCACTGGTGTAAAAGAATTCAGCTACTTGAGCATCAACTTCTTCTTTGTATCCTTTTTTCATCATTTGATTTATAGTTGCTTGAACTCCCCCCTTACTAGTAGTAGCAACTTTTTCTTTTCCTTTAAAACCGAATACCTTGTGTCCTCCTTCAAAATTTTCACTTTCTTCCTCGTCTTCACCGATATTTATCTTTCTTTTCTTTAATGAAGCATTCTTAGCTTCTGCAACTACTTTTATCATCAAATTTTTTATTTCATCCGGAACAGAAGCACAAGGCTCAGAATCTTCTCTAGTTCCAGCAAGATGATGCTTAAATCTAAATATGCCTCCACTTACAATCTTTGAGCAATAGTTGCATTTCACTTTTCTTCCATTACCATTAACATCAAATCCATATTTCCATCCAATATCAGATCGGTTTCCTGGAGCATTTTTACTTCTACTTTTACTAACTGATGAAGATACACTTGGATTAACTTCTCCTGAATTTGATGCGTTTCCCGACATAGTGAGGTAAGCTTTTTCACTACAAATATTAAAAATAAAATGTGCAAAAGTTTAAAAATGGAATAAAAACTTGCGTGCAGTGCAGTGCCGTCTCCCCTCTAATGATGTTGTAAAGTGGTGCAGTGAAATGTCCAGTATATTTCTCCCCTCTAATGTACTAAAAGAATAAAAAATTCATTTCCTAATCCTAATAAAATTGAAAAACGTAACTCACGGGTTATAATTTTTCAATGATAAAACGTCACCCACCCACCACCAGCGGCTGGAAGAAGAAGAGCGTACCTGCGACGCGAGGAAGGCGGTGAGGATGGCGGCGAGGATGGCGGCGAGGATGGCGACCACGCACGGCGACCACGATCTGCGACGACGCACGGCGACCACGATCTGCGACGACGCACGGCGACCACGATCTGCGACGACGCACGGCGACCACGATCTGCGACGACGACCACGATCTGCAACCGGACCAAGCGCGATCACGAGCGGAGCACCACGAGCGACGAAGATCAGTGGTGGAGTGAAAACCAGGCGGACGACAGGGACGAAACGCTAAACAGTGGTGGAGTGAAAATCAGGTTTTAAACCCTAAACAAAACGACCATGCTTTTCTTCGTTTCTGGCTTTTTTCGAACTCGTGGAATCGCTGTGCAATCGCGATTCCGAACGATTCCACCGAGTCCATGTCCGATTCTACCGAGTTCAGTCCAAAAACGAGTTTGGTACCGAGTTAACTCGGCAACCATGGCTGAAAACGTAAACTCGGACGAGTTAACGAGTTAACTCGCGAGTTTGATAACCTTGCTCTCATCAACCACGGTGCCGTCCAAGAAGAACCTTGGCCGAACGCTTCCACCACCTATTTCAACTTACGTTTTGGAACCGAATACCCTCCCCGTAACCAAATACATTTTATTGCACAACTTTTCCCACCCGTGGAACTGGATACCCCTTTGAGGGAACCGAATACACATGTGCACAAATAACTTCAGAGTTGTGTAACCGAATACGTCTCTGCTGGAACCGAATACACACCCTCTTCCTACCTTCCATGCATTGTTCATCGTCTTCTTTGCCTCTGAAACACGCGGATTCATCTTCAACCCTTTGCTTCTTCATGGCATCGACACACACAACGTCCTTCTTCCTCCCCATCTACAACCCTGCAAATGAAAAACAACAATATCTAGTTGGACATACATCACACTATCTTACTAACCTCACTACTTTGTCTTCCTCGTCTCAGCAAACCAGCCAACAACTTTATAAACCCTTGGAATCGATTCTGTGTTACTGCACTGTGGTAGGGAATCAGTTATACATGGTAAAGTGATATATAAGGATGGAATTTAAAAAATTGGTGGAGGGCACACTTGACTTTTCGCTTACAATCCGCGCAAATATCTTCCCCAATGCGAGTGACCAAAATTCGAAGAATCTCGCAAATCCGTCGTCGCTGATCCTTCCTCGTCCTTTCAAACGAACAACACAACTTATTCAAATCATCGCTCGCAATTTCGCGTGAACAATGTAATCCATTCATGCGAACACACGCTAACTGAGGATATCTATAGGGCCTCACATTCACGGGTTCAGTGCCCTCTTTAAGGGTTATCTGATGATCGACCCTTCTAACAGGAGGAAGTCCCTGCAATTCCTGAAACACCATCTCAAACTCCCTCAAGATCCTCTCCAGATTTGCTTCCTGCATGGGGGTTAATCCCTCTGCTCCTGAGTTTTCCCCTGCTGTTTCAGACTGATGCATACCCCACACCACCGTGAGAGTTTCAATCCCTGTATGCTTCTACAACGCCTCGGGATTGATGACCTTCATCATGGATCTGCTATCACCCCTTATCACTACTTCTCCTTCTGCCGTCCCATACTTCATGGTCATTTGCTTCCAGTCCACCCTACTTTCCCCCAACGTGGCCAGCCATTCTACTCCCAGCACGACATCGACTCCCCCTAGTTCAAAGAGATAAAAGTTCTCTTTAATCTCAACTCCCTCCAGTCTCAAAGAAACTCCCATGCAACGACCTCGCGTTTCTTTTCTTTGGCCGTACCCCAGACAGACGCTATACGGTGTCGTCTCCTCCCTCTCTAAATCCATCTCCTTCGCCAAACTTGTCGAGATAAAGTTATGGCTCGCTCCGCTGTCGACGAGCACGACTACCCACTGATCTCGAATCCACCCCGACAACTTCATGGTATTGGATTGAGTTATTCCCCCAGCCGAATACACCGTCAGTTCCATGCATCGCGGTTCCACCTCCGCTTCTGCCTCCACCTCTTCGTCGTCGTCGTCCGCCCCCATGATCATCACCTTGAAACTCCTCTCCACGCAACGATGCCCGGGGCTATATGGACCCCCACAGTGAAAATAGGGGCCCTCCTCTCTCCTCTTGAGGTATTCCGGATATGGCAGCGTTCGCACTTCGCAATTTGGCCCGCCACTGCCTGTTGTGCTTTCACCCTTTGAACCGGCGGTCTTGGACGTCACTTCTTTCCTCTGACCCAGACCTCCGCCGCTACTCTGTGCCCCTCTGATGACCCGCGATAGGTCTCTGTTCTAGCCACCGTGCCCGCATTGGCCGCATATCTTCCCCACGTTAGTCCTCCTTTACTCACCCCACCACCGCCGGACATCCTCGCCATCAATTCCGATTGCTCCCCGTCCGAGCCCTTTCCATCGCAGTTAACAGGTCGCGTGGATCGTAAGGCTTAACGAGGTCCGTCAATCCTTCTTGGAGTCCTGCAAAAAAATTCCTGGGTTTGGAATCTAACAAGAACACACTCAGAAGATAGAAACAGTAACGAAAGAATGAGTTTTTCTATTATTCACAGTAAAAGAACTATCTTTACAAATAATGGTTGGGAGCATAACCTCCCTGGTTGAGAGCATAACCTCTCTCTACAGGCTAAAATCCTATCTTTACAACAATATCACTCAATGCCCCATACAGAGTTTACAGCAGTCTATTTATAGCTTTAACAACTCTGACCCGCTCTTCCTTACAATAGAGCCCTTCCCAAACCGAGACCAAACAATTTCCTGTTTAAACCCGTTCGGCATGCCCCTGTTACCGTTCGGCTTCAAACCTAAAGCCCATCTATCCTATCCTCCTATGTCCTAACACCTGCTCACTCACATATGGTTATGTCACAAACTGCTTGGTCAGTTTTAAAATTACCTATTTCATGCAAAATTATTTCAAACTAGATAAAATTTCTTGAGAAATCTGAATATGATGATGGAATGGTGATTGTTGTGGTAATGGTGATGTGGCATATGTGTGTTGTACTGGTGGGGAATTTTTACTAGTAATGTATTAATGAAGGTGCATTGGAGATGATGATTGTGCAAAAAAATGTAGTTTGATATTAATGTTGATACAAATTCACTGATCTAAATTAAGTGCATATATTGAATTTAGTTATTAGCTTTGTCAAGTTACTCATATTGTAGGCTATTCATTTATAGATTGAAGGCACACTTCAAATTGTTTTTCCTTATCGTTTTACCTCTCAACCTTTGATTTTAAGCCCAAATGTCTTGCCAATCAGTTGGTTGTAGCTATCCTACATTGCTGTTGCTGATAATAGATAGATTGACCATTTTTAGATATTGGAGACAAGGATGCAACCATTTGTCATGATTTTTTTTTTGTGTAAATATTCTTTTCAGATCAAAATACCACTGCCTTTAAAGAGGTAGCCATTATCCGTCATCCACGTGTTGGTGAATATGCCTTTGGCTTTATTACATCAACTGTTACTCTACAGGTACGTTGAATTGTCTACAATTTGATTACCAACCTACTTTTGCGTATGTTGATTAAATGTATGTGATGGTTCCCTTTTTTATTTTTATAGCACATAAACTTCATCAATTTATATATAATGCTTGGATGGACTTTTGGGAAATGGATGGACTTTTGGGAAAGTAATATATCTATAGTATTGAAAATTGGAATGCACATACCATACATATTTGTACATGTATTATGACATGGTCCATTTTAACATGACTAACGGGAATTTGCCTACATTAGATTGAATAATCATTAAAATAACTTTTAAAGAAAGGGGAATATACTTCTGTAAAACATGGTTCTATTTTAATATTTGATACCCATACTTTTCTGGCGAAGATAAACACACAACACCACATGCATTTATATGAGTCTTCTGAGATTTGAAGCAGCAACTTAAGCCTAACAAGTTTTGCTTCGAGTTTATTTAGTCCCTGGTTAGTAATGCTTTTACTTAACCATTCTTTTAAGTGTTAATTTATTGTCAAATTATGGGTTTGTGTTTGTCATTTTATATTTGCCTCATGTTCATATGAAAAGAGCTTCATCATTGTTGAGAGAGAGAGAAAGAGAGAGAGAGACAAGTGAGCATAGGATGAGTTTCGTGTGTCTAGACCACATCATAACTATTGAATTTATTCAAGTAAAAAACATAGTTACAAAATATCAAGGTCATGATTAGAGAATATCGAATTACCCTATTGTAGGTTATTAACATAATATAGAGTCAATCTAATTATTCATAGTATCCACTGTTACTATATTTACAAGATTCTAGCACTTTCCTCAAGTTGGAGCATATATTCTATGCACCAAACTTGTTACATATGTGGTTAATCTAAGGACCCCTTAGTTTCTTAGTGAATACATTGTATGCACCAAACTTGCTATATAGGTATCTAGTAGAAAATATGACTTATTTTAATTATTCTAAATCATAAAAAATACATTCTCATATCCTCTATTTGTAATAATCTAATTCTCCTAAAAAGGAAAATAGGAAAACTAAGGAAACAAAAGAAAATAGAAGATTATACATCTATTTTCTCTAATTAGGAAGATTCTAAAGATATCTTCTCTAATTACAACACTCCCCCTCAAGTTGGTAAATGAATATCAATCATTCCTAATTCGCCTACAAGATCTCGAAATCTACCTAGAGGAAGCCCTTTTGTAAAAATATATGCTATTTGAAGTTCTGTAGGAACATGAGTTGTAATCACAAAGCCTATGTCAAGATTATCTGTGATGAAATGTTTGTCAATCTCAATGTGTTTGGTTCTGTCATGTTGTACTGGATTATGGGCTATGCTCATGACAAACTTATTGTCACAGCGTAGTTGCACCGGGTTATCCAATTTTACTTTAAGATCATCCAAAATGATTTTCATCCAGAGTCCTTCACACATTCCTTGAGCAAGAGCTCGAAATTCAGCTTCTGCACTAGAACGAGATACTCTATCTTGCTTTTTGCTTCTCCATGTTACCAGACTATCTCCAAGAAACAGACAATACCCAAAAGTAGATTTTCTGTTAGTAATAGAACCTGCATAGTCAGCATCAGTATATATCTTCATAGTCAATGTGTCTTCCCTTTTGAATAATAGCCCCTTTCCTAGACTTGACTTCAAGTATTGGAGAATTTTGAACTGCTTGCATGTGTCTCTCTCTTTGATCATGCATAAATTGGCTCACTACACTAACTGCATAAGCAATGTCTGGTCTTGTGTGTGATAGATAAATCGATTTTCCTACCAATCTTTGATATTAGGCCTTCTCTATAGGAGCACTTTCTTCACTTCCAATTCTATGATTCTGTTCTATAGGAACGGTTGAGGTTCTACATCCCAGTTTTCCTGTTTCTGTGAGGAGATCAAGTGCATAACCCTTTGAGAGATGGAAATTTTGTTCTTGGAGTAGACAACCTCTATTCCAAGAAAATATTTGAGTTTTCCTAGGTCTTTCATTTCCAATTGAGTTGCCAATTTATCTTTTAATGCTAATTTTTCTATTTCATCATCTCCTACAATAATCATATCATCCACGAGTTAAATATGTTTTTAGTCCCTCAACTATCAAGCAATTTTGTTTTTCGTCCCTATTTCAAACTTTGTACGATTTGATCCCTCTCCTTAAAGAAATCATAATTTTTGGTCATCCAAAACAAACAACGTTAAAAATTAGCTGAGGTGGCTAACGGTGTATGCCAAGTATTTTTTTTTTCTGACTCTCACTGAATCTTTCTCACCTTTTCTCTCTTTCTGGCGCAGGAGCAAAATCTGTTTTTGAGAAGGCAGATTTACCAGGACAGAGGAAAGGTAGAGCCGGGGAAGAAAACCACTTGGAGATCTATCCAATGTAGGGAACCTCATCAACCAATTTGATGGAAAGAAAGCTTTTGATGGTTCATTGAACATTGGCAAACCCTTTGTTAATCAGGCGCCCAAGTTGCAGAAGTCTAACAATCTTGAAACTGAAAAAAGAATCACCAACAAAGCTTCTGGAAAATCACTTACTAGTACAAGAAAGTACTTTCTGACATTTCAAACTCCGGGAAATGACGAGCACAGTTGAACAAGGTGGTGTCACTGTTGGGAGTTGGGGAGGAAGCAGTTTCTGGTAGCTCCGAGGCCGTGGCACTAGAGGTGGCGCCAGTTCAGTTTGTTTTCAGTGCGAATCGTTTCGGTGTTCTTCTTCTCTGTGATTGATTCGTTCGATCCACACAATCGTGGTGGATTGATTCCAAGGCGTATAGACGAAGACAACAACAAGGGTTTTCAAAACCTTCAATTTCGACCTTCGAAGACGAAACCACTCGAAACACTAACTCCTTTCCGCCGCCAAACGACGTCGTTGAAGGTTTAGCTTCGTTGTCGTCGTCTTCCCTTGCTGCGAAAGCTATCAGAGCTTCTTCGGCGTGTCGTGAAACTTCGCTGTCCTAGATCTCTCCTCCACTTCTTCTCCGACAGCTCCTTCTTCGCCGTGAAGGAGCCCCTTGCAGCGTTTGAGGTGTCATCCTCGTCGATTGTGGATGAGAGAACGGCGGTGGAGACCTAGAAGAAATAGCGGACGACCTCCTAGGAAACAAAAAAATACCTACGTGGCAAACGACACGTGGCTAGACATTAGCCACCTCACCTGATTTTTAACTCCGTTTGTTTTAGAGGACCAAAAATTATGGTTTCCTTAAGGAGAGGGATTAAATCGTACAAAGTTTGAAATAGGGACGAAAAACAAAATCGCTTGATAGTTGAGGGACTAAAAACATATTTAACCCTATCATCCACATAGACAAGCAATAGAGTAAGTTTACCTATAAAACAGTGCTTTATGAATAGAGTGTGATCTCCTTGGCTTTGTCTATATCCCAAGGAAACCATTGCTTTTGTAAATCTTTCAAACCATGCTCTAGGGGATTGCTTAAGCCCATACAATGCTTTCTTCAGGAGGCATACCTTGTTTCTTTCCTTTTTCACTTCAAAGCCTGGGGGAATCTCCATGTACGCTTCCGCTTCTAGATTTCCATGAAGAAAGGCATTCTTCACATCCAGCTAGTGTAAGTCCCATCCAAAATGAGCAGGCAAAGCGATAATAACTCGAACTGAATCCATCTTTGCCACTAGGGCAAATGTCTCCTCATAGTCAATCCCATACGTTTGGGTATATTCTTTTGCCACCAATCTAGCTTTATATCTTTCTATTGTCCCATCTTCCTTATGTTTGACTGTGAATATCCATCTACACCCTACTGCCTTCTTGTCTCTTGGCGTATCAACAATCTCCCAAGTTGAATTTCTTTCTAATGCATTCATCTCTTCTTTCATGGCTTGATTCCAATGTTTAAGTTTCATGGCCTCTTGGATTGAGGTAGAAATTTCTATGGCATCAATGGCAACAATAAAACTTATGTGCTTATTAGAGAGATTGTTAGTGCAAACATACTGAGAAATAGGATATTTAGCACATGATCTTTCTTTCCTTTCTCAATGCAATGGGTAAATCCTCAGTAATACGTGCCTCCTCCTCATTGATATCTTCAGGGAGCCTCACCTCTGAATTAGACAATTTTTCTTGCTCGAGAGTCGAAGAGGGTTGTTTTCTTCTTTCATATGTTTTGCCAAAAAAATTGTCTTCCTATTCTTCCTCATTGTGGACACAGTACTCAGGTCTTGGACATCCTACAAAGACAAACATGGTAATGACAAGACGGAGAGTTCATCCACTTCAAGTGCTTTTACCCCCTGAAGTGGTGGACTGAAATAAAAGGATTGCGTTTCATGAAAGGTGACATCCATGGTGATAAAGACACGACGACTCTGAGGATGATAACATTTGTACCTTTTTTATTAGAAGGATACCCAATAAAGACACATTTAAGAGCTATGGGATCTAATTTACCACGGTTAGGATGACGAGAGTGAACAAAAACACACTTCCAAAGACTCGACTAGGTAGACTCATTATTAGGGGAAAAGAAGGACTAAAAGACAATAGAGACTCTATAGGACTAATGCCATTTAAGATACGAGTGGGTAACCTGTTGATGAGATAGGTGACAATTAACACATCTTCTCCCTAGTAAATTTTGTAACATACATTTGAAAAAGAAGAACTCTAGTTACTTCAAGAAGATGACGATTTTTTCTTTCTACAACCCCATTTTGTTGAGGGGTGTTAACACATGTTAGTTCATGAACAATACCATTATGAGACAAAGTTGAGAAATTCATGATTCACATATTCAGTACCATTATTAGACCTGATTCTTTTGATATTTTTTCCAAATTGATTTTCGACAAGATGGAAAAAATTAACAAAAATTTGAGAAAATTCGGATATAATTTTCATAAGGTATGTCCACGTGACACAGGTATAATCGTTAATAAAGGTAACGAACCATTTGGCTTCGGAAATAGAATCTATGACAAGACCCCAAACATCAGAATGAATTAAATCAAATGGAGAAATACTCTTTTTATCACTAACAGGATAAGATGCACGATGGTGTTTTGACAATTGACAAAATTAAAAGACTCAACAGACTCTTTGGTAAACAAATGGGGAAATAAGGACTTGATAAGACTAAATGAAGGATGCCCAAGCCTTTGATGATGTAACCATATTTGGGAATTTGCCCTCGTCTCAGATGTAGCTTGTTGACTCATGATTTTTGTGCTGCTTTAGTCATCAAACTCTAAAAAATACAACCCACTCTGCTCCTTAGCAGTTAAAATCGTCTTCTCCATGGAAAGGTCCTGAAAAACACAATAAGTTGGAAAAAATGTTATTGAAAAATTTAAATCCTTTGAGTTTTTGCACAAAGATCACACTATTAGCTAATTGAGGAACATGTAAAACATCCTTCAATACAATCAATAGATGAGTCCAAAATTATATTCCCAGAGCCACATATAGGTATACCTTGACCATTCGCAACTGTAATAAGTTCTT